CTCCACCCACTCTCCTCCTCCTTGTTCTCACACACACACACTCTCTCTCTCACTCTCTCTCTCTCACTCACACACACACACACACACACACACACACACACACACACACACACACACACACACACAGCCGCCTGATGAAATTCATTAGCTGCTGCATCTTAATCTTAATAGCTAGAGGACTAATTAATCTTTTTTTTTTTTAAGTGCAAAATAAGCAAGAGTGCTGCCTGAGGCATTACACACACACACTCATCTGTATCCCATAATGCACTCTGTCAGGAAGAAGAGAATGAGCAAGAACCGGGAGAGTAAAGCAGTGAGATCTCTCACGCTTAGATGTGAGTGCTCTGAGTTAGCGTGTGGGTGTGTGGAGCTGATCCGAGGTTTGATTTTCATTTCTGAGTCTAGAAGCCAGGCTTTGTAGATCTCAGATAAAGTCTAGAACTGACCAGAGCTCGTATTGAAGGGTTTCTCAGCATTTTTTGGCCAGTGACACCAATTTAAGAGTCCAAAGTTCTTGTGACTCTTACCCCCTTAGTGGCAATTAGTCAATATTTTAACTGCACTAACTGCACACACTTACCCGAGGCACCAACAATCAATGCTACTTCCTTCCAAGCTGTATTTTTCTTCAGAATGCGTCAAAGAGGAAACAATGGTTATAAGTTTTTTTTTTCTTCCATTTTTGCAGACCAGGTCTGCAAACAGCGGACCTCATGCGTCATAGAATTGGTCAAAGGTATCATTCGAACCAATCATTAAGATGTGTTGCTTTACGGCGTCATACATAATTTGCTTAGAATTAGAAAATCTCAATTCAAAGGTTGCTGAACTGGATCTGTGCTGCACATGTACGTAGAAAGTGAACAGCTGTCTGTCACTTTGTGGTTTGTGAGTGCGAATATAGGTTAACAGGACAGTTAAGGTAGAAGTGTGGTGGCTTCACATGTCTCTGAGGAAGCTAGTTTTCTCCCTCTCTGGTTTGTGTGGTAGGGGAGAGCTAGCCAGTGTGTGTGTGTGGGGGGGATTAGCAATGACCAATATTGGGATAAAAATGGGGCAACTTTGCAAAAACGTAATACATTAGCATGCTTTACCTTATTTGAGCTTTAAATCTGCTGTTTGAAAATAGTGTCAGTAGGCGTAGCTCAGCTCCATTTACAATAATGCCATGATGATGTGTATCTATAACATGGCCAAATGCATAATCCTGTTAATGCAAATTCGAGAATAATCTGCTCTTGAGTGAAATAAAAAAAAAAAAAAAAGTTCAAATCTATTATCATGTCAAATCTTACACACACAGATACCTAAAACAACAACAAATTACAAGGACACAGACAATTCTCAGAGAACACTGGTTACAGAAACCCAAACAGCAGTAAACGGAGTAAATAAGGATAATATAAGATAAACATGAAATGCTAAGTAGCAACAAAAATAGGTAAAGTGGTTGTAATGCAGCTGATTATAAGACAACTCTCATGAGAATGTGTCCATAAGAAAGAGAATAAATAATGATAAATACAGTGTGGTGGAATGTGAAAAAATGCTGCATTATTGCAGTCAACACAGTGTGGACGAGTTGTACATCTGTGGCTTGGATCAGTCTGGAGCTGAAAGTGCTCGGCTAAGTGACTGGGACACCTGGCATTAACATGCGTCCTGAGTGATCGGATCGTAAGTGGACAGTCGAGACACCTGGCATTATGAACGAGTCTCCAGTGAGCACTTGTGGTTGGATTTCTGCTGGCTAAAGGCTGTCACACACATTTATTACCATTTTTCAGCTGCATTTATTTATTTTCAGGCAGAAATATCCTGCAAATCCTATCTCATCTACCTTTACAGTCTGTTTCAAAATATTTTAATCGCATGGTCCGCTTAATGAAACTGAATGAATGAGAGATGAGACAATCAGGAAAGCTATGAAAAGCAGCTGCTTTTATCTCTGCTGTTACAGCATCGTCTTTATCCATTAGCCTAGTGGCAGAGAGCGCTCCCGTTCAGCATGATTTCCAAACAGGCTCACAATCAGTACATATTTTCCGGCGAGGGCAATGATGCAGTCAACTACTCTCACACCTGTACTTATTGCTGACCACTCGCAAGCTGATCACCCAGGATGCACGTTAGTGACGGGTATGAACAGGGCGTAGGTGCTTATGGAGGGGGTGAGAGACATTGTTCATGATGAGCAGCAGTTTAGCCATCACCCTGTCCTGCAAAACTGATTTCAGGGAATTCAGATTGGTCCCAATGACCTGTCCAGCTTTCCTTGTCAGATTGTTTAGTCTGCATGTCCTGCTTTGATGCCACTGAACAGTATACTGCTGCGTAAAAGATGGTGCTCACCACAACTGACTTGTAGAACTGTTCTGTCTTCTGACTCCCTTACTGTTAAGTGTCCTGTCCAGTCCGTTGTCTAGGTGCACTCCAAGGTACATGCAGAATTCCACCACTTCAATTTTTTTGAAATTTGTATAACACATTCAACAATGAACATTGTCACAAAGCAGCTTTACAGAAATGTATTAATTCAGGACATAAATTTTAAGTGTATGAATTTATCCCTAATGAGCGAGCCAGAGGTGACTGCGGTGACGAAAAACTCCCTGAGACAATATGAGGATGAAACCATGAGAGGAACCAGACTAAAAAGGGAATGAATCCTCATCTGGGTGACACTGGATAGTGCGATTATAAATTAATTAATCTTCTACAATTGTATACTATATGATCAAAAAGGGCAATTGTGTAAACAGAAACATCATGAGTCATTTCTGAATTCATTATAGTTTTAACTTAAAGGCTACTGTGTCGAACTGAAGTTATTAACTGTTCAATGATGGAGACTTAAGTGCAAACTATTCTCAGAAATTGTAGTCCTAAGGCTGTCCAAGGAAGAACATCCACAGCCATCTTTATGGTTTCTATGTGGTACCATCCACAGTAATCTCATGGTGATCTATAGGCAGTGACTTCCACATCGTCCGCAGGGATAGAGACAGGGATTTGCAGGGTTTTAGATCTTCTAATGTCCACCACCATCTCCTTTTTCTTGGCAACATTGAGTTGTAGGTTGTTTCTTCCACATCACTCAATGACGCTGTCTATCACAGCTCAATTCTCTGACTCCTGTCCTTCACTTACACCCCAACTACAGCCATCAGAATATGTGTGTGGATGACGTACTTGAGTTGTACTTAAAATCTGAGGTGTACAGTGTGAACAAGAAAGGAGATAGAACTGTTCCTTGTGGAGCTCCTGTGTTTCTCACCACCTTGTCCAACACACAGTTCCTCAAATGCAACTCAAATGACCCCTCAGCTGGAGTTGTCAGTGATCCAGGAGTTTATGGTGATGTCCACCTGTATCTCTTTAAGCTTTTCACCAAACAAGGAGGACTGTATGGTGTTAAAGTACTGCCAGATTTGTCCAGGTGGGAGTTGGCCTTCTGCAGTAGATGGATAATGGCATCTTTTACACTGACCTGCTGTTGATATGCAAACTGCAGGGGGTCCAATGATGAACCAACTTTAGGTTTGAGACAGGCAAGAACCAATTTCTCCAGGGTTTTCATCATGTGTGTCATTAAAACAACGGATTTATAGTCACTGAAAGCTGTTGGGACATGGATTCTTTAGAACTGAAACTGAAGAAGATGTTTTCCAGAGCATGGGTTCCTCACCATTCCTCAGGCTCAGGTTGAAGAGTTACTGTAGTACTTCACAGAGATGATCTGCACAGGACTTAAGGACCCTTGGGCTAATTCCATCTGGCCCTGTGGCCTTGCTCTGATGGAGACTTACCAGCACCTTTTTCACCTGGTTTGCAGTGACAGTCAGCCCAGGGGAAGCACTGAACCTTGTGTCTGGTCATGCTGGTGCTGTTTGTGCAGGATATGTATTCTGGTCTGTGATGTGGAGGTATCTGTAATGTCCTTGCTGGGGGGCAGGTGGGTTTGAGGTTTTAGGAAGCAGTGGGCAGAGAACAGGAGCATCAGCTCCATTGATTTTGACCTCTGAAATGGAGTAGAATGGGGATGGTGGGGACGGTGGATGCAGCTGTCTAAGTTGTGGTAATATGTGACATGGTTAAGTATGTGGGGAGGGACAGCTGGAGGCCCAGTGTTGAACCAATTGAAGAACTGATTCAGCTCATTGGCTCAATCTGTACTTCCCTCACTGGTGTTCTTGAAGTCAGTGATCAGCTTCATACCACTCCAATTATCCCTGGTATTATTCTGCTGCAGCTTCATCTTCAGTTTCATTTTGTAGGAAATCTTGCACTCCCTTATCTTCACTTTCAGCTTTCTCTGTACCCAACTAAATTCTCTCAGCAGATAGTATGAGTGCAAACTCAATGCCCAGGCTACAAAAGCTCTCCTTAACAGTAATATGTCCAGCATTACACCATCTGTTGTTTACGAGCACAGCAAGGCCCCCACCTTTCAACTCACTGCTCTGTTTGGTGTCCCAATCTAACCATGTCATCTAAAAGGCAGCTATAGCAGCATTAGCATCAGGGATATGTGCCTGAATCCATGTCTCAGTGAAAAAACATTGTGCTACATTACCAATATTCTCTTTGGTATTTTGCCAGTGCTCCAAGTTCATCCATTTTATCAACCACACTTTCCCCCATTTCGTTGCTCTTTGTTTTGCTCTGGACGTGCAGCCAAAATGTCACCTCCTGAGTTCCTCTGGGATCTGAAGCCTATCTCCAGGTAACAAAGTGTAAACAATGCACTTGGTGTCCATCCCAATTTTGGAGTTCAGCAATTGTTCAGTGGTGAAGAAAAGAAGAAAAAAAAAGCTTAACACTAAAATAACAAGACTGAGCCACACTGAAAGGACTGACTTAAATAACAAGAGTCAGGACTAAGGAATAAGCTAAAGAAATGATGAGAAACTAAAACACACTACAGAGAACTTTTGAAACAGGCTGCCACTAGCAGAAGTTAGGTTATCTAGTTAGGATATCTATTTAGGTTGGGGGCAGTTGTGGCCTAATGGTTAGAGAGTCGGGCTTGGAACTTGAAGGTGGTGGGTTCGAGTCTCAGGGATTGTAGGTGGGGGAGTGAATGACCAGCGCTTTCTTCCACCCTCAATACCACGACTGAGGTGAGACCCTTGAGCAAAGCACCGAACCCCCAACTGCTCCCTGGCACTGCCCCCTGCTCCGGGTGTGTGTGTGTGGGTGTGTGTGTGTGTGTGTGTGTGTGTGTGTATATGCACTTAGATGGAGCACAAATTCTGAGTATGGGTCACCATACTTGGCCACAAGTCACTTCACTTCACTATGTAATTAAATAAATAATCTGCTTTTATTATTAATCAGTATTCCATCTTTTCCTTTTTGAGAGCATTCTGGCCTCATGCTCTGTGATTCACTAACACTGGCTTTGGTTTTTGTCCCAAATCAACCTCCTCAACTCCCACCACACTCTACACACGACACACTACACCTTACAGCACCAGGGCATACTGCAGGGTTTGATTCAAGAACTATGAGGCTGTTGCTCAAGATATAACCATCCAACAGACGGACTGACAGATAGACAGAGAATTATAGAGAGCAGAGTGAAACGCAAACACACACAAGCATCCATAAGTAACCAAATTAACTTATTATTCTCCATAACGATAGGATAATGAATGAATACTGAGGCACTGTTGCAATACCAACTGCAGAGATTAAAAACTAAAAATGGATGTATAGAAGAAAACAAAATCAGCATTCACACCAACACTTGCACCAACACACCACACAATCAAATATGAACAAACCATTTCTGAATGAGGACAAAATGTGGACCAAACCATTCCTGAACGTGTCTTTACAATTTAGATCCTGAATGTATTTATTTCTGTAAAGCTGCTTTGTGACAATGTCCACTATTAAAAGTCCTATACAAATAAAATTGAATTGATTTAAGTCTTTATATTTTGTCTTTTTTTCTAAGTCTTATTTCTATGGAGATATTAATGTAACAATTAATGTACTCTTTTGTAAAATCTATTCCCACAGCAAAATCCCCAGTGTTGAATTAGCACCCTGCAGTGTTTATAAATGTCCAATTGATTACAAATGAACTCTGAAAGTGTTAAACAAGCTCTCCGGGTGTTAAGGTTTCTGCCTATGCTTTTGCTGAGTACCAGAAACGATGATTCAAAGTAAGTCCAGAGGAGAATTTTCTTTTGCCAAAAGAACTGTTTGATTAAATGACCTTTAACTGTTTTTTTGTTATGGCCACAAGGAACTAAAAAAGAAATTTTCACCATAAATGTTACCATCGTGTGGGAGTAAGTTTGTGGTGGCACATATTTATTCAGTTCATTGTAATGAATAAATAAATTTAAAAAAAAATAGGTAAAGACTTATGGGCCAGGGTATTTGTTTTTTAGGAAACTGTATCTCTCAAAAGAACCTTTAATTTTTAAGAGAGCGTCCTGAAGGGGTTATCTGTTGTAGCTTTAGTTAGAGAACCTAGAGGTTACAGTCATAGGAAAAAGAAAGCACACCCTCCTTCAATGTTTTTATTTATCAGGGGCTAAATAATAATTGTTTGGTCCTCACTAACTTCTAAAAACAAATAAATAACTTCAGGTGACAACAAAAAAAAACACAGCAGGTTTCAATATGTAGTCATTTTTTCCCCAAAAAGTAATCCAACATTCAGAAATAAGGTAGAAAAAAGTACACCCTTCCTGCCTCCACAATCATTAAGAGAGTAATTAGCAGCGAGGTGTTGCTAATGAAATGCACAAGATTAATTAATCATCAAGAAATGTGACTGCCTTTATAAAAGGAAAACTTTTGCCAGTTTTGTGTTCTGGAGCACTCAGGTGTGTGTCTACATCATGCCAAGACAAAAGGACATCAGCCATGACCTCAGAGAAGCAAGCGCTGCTGCTCATCAATCTGGGAAGGGTTATAAGGCCATCTCCAAACACTTTGAAATTCACTATTCTACAGTGAAAAGGATTGTTTACAAATGAAGAGCCTTCAAGACAGTGGCCAGTCTTCCCAGGAGAGAGCGTCCCAGCAAATTCAGTCCAAGGACAAACTGTTTAATGCTCAGAGATATAAAGAAAAACCAAAGAGCTGCATCATGCGACCTACAGGCCTCTGTAAGCACATTAAATTTTTATGTTCATGAGAGCACCATCAGAAAAAGACAGAACAATTATGGCCTTAATGGAAGGGTGGCTAGGAAAAAGTCTCTTCTCTCCAAAAAGAATATAGAGCATGATTTAGGTTTGTGAAATTGCATCTAACAAACCACAAAACTTCTGGCACAATATCCATGGAATGATGAGACCAAGGTGGAGTTTGGTGTTCACTCACAGCACCATGTTTTGTCAAAATCAAACACAGTGTATCACCAAAAACACGTCATACCAGCTGTGAAGCCTGGTGGTGGAGGGCTGATGATTTGGGTTTGTTTTGCAGCTACAGGACCTGGGAAACTTGCAGTCATTGAGACAACGATGAACTCCACTTTATACCAGAATATTCTTGAGACAGATGTGAAGACATCTGTCCAGCAGCTTAAGCTGGGCAGAAACTGGGTCATGCAACAGGACAATGATCCCAAACACACCAGCAAAATGATATCTTACAATTACAATGTTGTAAAGAAAGAGTTTGCTAAAATTTCTCCAAAACGATGTGAGAGACTGATGAACTCCTACAGAAATGTTTACTTCAAGTTATTGTTGCTAAAGGTGCTTCTACATGTTACTGAATTATAGGGTGTACTTATTTTTTCCCACATAGTTTCTGAATGTTGGTTTAGTTTTTTGGGGAAAAAAAGACTAACTATTGAAATGTTGTGTTTTTTGTTGCTTATTTGTTTGTTTATAGAAAATAGTGAGGACCACACAATTGTTATTTAGTCCCTGATTAAAAAAAACATAGAATTGAAAGAGGGTGCACTTTCTTTTTTCCATGACTGCATATAATGCAGCTTTAAAACTATATTTAACTATATCTAAAATGCAGATTTGCACCTTAAGATTCATTGTTGTACCCTGGGGGGGAATTTTATAGTTTTCTTAATGCTGGGAAGTAAATATACCTGTCTGCAGATAAAACATGGAAACCTCTGTAGATATAACAATGTGTTGTGTTTATCAGCATCAGCTTCTGGGATCTGTCTGAATCGTTTTGTGTTCAGGAGCACTTTACAGGTCCATTTGAGAGGGCAGATAGAATCTCCTGCTGCACAAGCTGTGTGTGTGTGTGTGTGTGTGTGTGTGTGTCTTGCTTAATAATTAATGTGTGGTTAGCTTTGCTGTAGCACTCGCGGCAAAGCTGGGTAAAAAAAAAAGCGGATTTGATTTGCTGTTGTGGATCGCAGAGGGAGCCAGACGCATTTACTGTAGAAACACACACACACACACACACACACACACACACACACACACAGAGTGAGTGTGATGCATGAGAGGGTGTGTTAAGAGTGGCGGCTGGCTGGCTGTAACCCTAATGCAATTTCTCATTGAAGAACGGCGACAATAAACGGCAGTGCACACTCGATGAACTCACGCCTGAATTACAGTCATGCACATACGATATAACAACAATAAAAGTAATAAAAACATGAGGAGTAATAAAGGTCCTAAAGACAGATGTACTGTTCTGCATGTGATTAGATACTGAATATCAAAGAGAATACTCAGAGGCTTGGTTCTTCAATTTAATTTAATTCAATTCTGCGATGCTTTGTTGGCGAAAATGTTACAGATCACATTACTGCCAAAGCAGATAAATAAGAGAACAGATGCGTAACAACATCTGTGCAAATGTAGCGCACACACACAAACACACACACACACACTAAACGAAACACACTATGAAGTCACTGATGTACTAACAGCCCCAGTGGAGGATCTCATCTTGCCCATGAGCAATGTAACATGTACGTTTTGCATTTTTTCATTGCGTTCCTTGTAAACCTGTAAAACTTCCATTTCAGACCTCTGTAGCTAGTCTCTGGTCCGTCCAGAGCTGGATTCAACTAAATAATTTACATAAATGAATGTGATTGGATAAACTGCAAAGAGGATCTGCTACAGAAGGATCATGTATAGAAAACTGGAGGTGCTGAACTACAACCAGTTTCATACTTTGATCAGTGTTTGGCCCTCCCATGGCTATGTACATGCCCTCGTCTTCTCAACACCACTTCAGCACCTTTTGCGACTCAGACAACGTCAAACGTGAGCCAAGCCTCCAACCCATTGAAGCCACTCCTTATCATCTTCACTGCTATTTGGGATCTTGCACAAACAGGTAGCGTTATTCCAATTTACTGATAATTGATTGGTAAGTCAAAAAAAGTGATGCCATTTGTTCCTTCTCTTTCAAGTGTCAGGTTTCACCCTTCCACATCTCCAAGTCTCTTTGGCTGCAATTAATCTCAAGAAGATCATTAATCAGATCCTTTCATGACTCTTTCAAGGACTTTCAGATCAAAACTTTACCATGAGCTTATGTCCTAAACACACTAGAGATACATCCAGACCAAGACACCGGGCAACATACGAGACCTTGGCAATGACTTGCAAGATACAGGGCATCACAAAAGACTTGCAATTTACAGAACCTCGGCAATAGATTACAAAACCTCAGAAAAGACTCGCATCACACACGGCATTGCAAAGGACTCAAAAGATTCAGGGTCTGAGAAGATACTTGCAAAATACAGGACCTTGGAAATGATTTACAAGATACAGGGCCTCAGAACAGACACACAGAATACACAGGCGTGGGAAAGCACTCGGAAAAGGCTTATAACAGTACCATGAAAATGCGTCATGTGATTTAACTGATGGAAAAGCAGCATCATCATCACTTTAATGAAAACAGTCGTGCTACTTTGGATAGTTTGTGTTGTATGGTTCTGGACAGATCAGTAAAGAATCTGACATTTAAGCTGAAGAACTCTTGACTGATGTAGAATCGTCTCACTTTCAGCATCATTCTGAATTTTTAACTCTATCTCTTGTGTGCTGTTCACTCTGTGCACAAACTCAACGCAGTGTCAGATAGCTGTAATAGAG